ACCGGGGTCCATCGGGTCCACAGGCGGCACCGCCCCCGAAAACTTAGGCGGCTACTGAGGTGCCTGAGTAAAAAGAGCCCGCGCTCCCGACATCCCCCGTAGCCCTGTTCGCTGTACGCAAAAATTACGTCATCATCCTTCACTGCAAACATCCTTGAGGGCTTCTAGTATTACAGAACAAAAGGCAGCTCAGTAGAAATACTTGCTCAAGAAAAACCTACTTGCTCAGTTGCAATAAGAGTCCGAGAGGAATGCGTCCCTCTCAGAAATGAATTAAAATGTATGTGGGCTTTTATCATATATAAAAGTAAATAGAGGGAGGTGAGGGAAAAAATCCCTCGGCAGCTGGAATTAACCCTTTCGCTCAGGTGCCCAGGACAGACCTAACTGCTGTCACAGCCGCGCATGCGCAGCAGGCGGAAGGCGCCACGCCCCCTCCGGAATCCACCTGTCAGGCTTCTCCCTGGAAAGAGCCTTTGGTACAGAGAGTGTATTAAGCCCTGATAAACGACACTCCGGCTCGGTGTGAATAAACGCGTGGCCCAGGAAGAGCTGGTATCCACGGTAGCCAGCCTGGCACGGTTAATATATTTATAAGGCCAAGTCCTGTGGCATAGCGGTTGAGGGAGCCCGTTTCCACGAGGCCCACTGCGGTTTGAGTTTCAGCCACGGTAGCTTGAAAATCGGGCAAGGTGCATACCCCACACCCCCCGCAGGATGGAAAGTGGAGAAGGAGTTGCTGGCATCACCATGCCCCACTGGGAAGAGACGACTCCCTTTCCCTCTCTCTCTGTGTCACGTGCATGCACTCCAGCGAAAGTCTTAAAGTTTATTGCTCTGGAGGTTTACAAACCAGTCTACAACGTTGAAATGTTATTTTCTCCTCACAGATGGAGAAACCGAAATTGCCTGTATAAACTTTGTGAAGTTGTTAAATGCTTGACTTGGAATCAGACATTCTAACTCCAAATCCCTTGATTGTGCAGTGGCTAAAAACTCGACGTATGTGAGCCAGGGAAGTGAGTGAGTGAGGTCTTTTAGGTGTTTCAGTTTAAAAGAGTAAAAACAGGGACCAGCAGTTAGCGTAATGGCTATGTCGCTAGACTCCCACGTAGTTGACCGCGGTTCGAGTCCTGGACCTGGTGGCTTAAACTCACGCAGGGCGCGTGTGTGCGTGCCCAAGATCCCGAGAGGAGAATGGAGGAGAAGGGATTGCGGCGTGGCCATCCCCCCTGGGGGGGTGATTACCTGCTTTCTATCTCTCTGTCTCTCTCTGTCTGTCTGGTGAGCGCACACGCCCTATAGCAAAAACCTCTCCAAAAAAAAAAAAAAAAGAGTCAAACCCCCTCCACTATCACCCACCCACCCATTCAGATATGCCCTTCTTCGTTTCTTGAAGGACACAATTGTCTTGGTCGTATTTTGTCTTCATTTGATTTTATAGGAATAGATGCAAATGTGTATATATATATATATATATATACGCACACACACACAGAGAGGAAAAAAATCATAGTGTAAGCATCTTGATAAATGGCAACTGATAGGAAAGTGGAGAAGGGGTAGCTGAAACTCAGTTTCCATCTGTTGGTTCCACTGAATCTCTTGATTTTTCAAGAAAAAGTCATAGTCATAAATAGGAACTTTAAATTTGAAATATCCCAATTAAAAAATATTTTGCCAAAGGATGCTTACGCTAGTTAGAGAGAGACAGGAGAGGAGAAGGGAGAAAACACCTCCCAATGAGTGCACCACAATCCTTTCTCTTCCATTTCTCCATCTTGTTGGGATTTGGGGCATGAATACACAGCTGGCATGACTTTCAAGCTATATGAGCCATGATTCAAAACTAGTGGTTGGTCATGTGGGATCCAGCTCCCTTAACCATAGCCATGGGGCCAGCCCCTGAAGCATCCTAACATTTATTTAAATGTTTTTAGAGATTTTTTTTCCTGTAGGGTACATGCAATCGCCAGAAAGACAGAAAGTGAGAAATCACCCCCAGAGGGGATGGCCACACCATAAGCCCTTCTCCATTCTCCTGGGATTCGGGGCACATACACACATGCACATGGCGTGAGTTTCAAGCCACTAGGTCTGGGCCTCAAACCACAGTGAACCACGTGCGAGTCCAGCTCCTTAACCGCTATGCCACCTGCTGGCTCCTTATCCCAATTTTTAAATATTGGCTAAAATAAACATAATAAAGAACTCTATGCAGAAGAGCAAAAACTTGAAAACATCTTATTTATACATTAACAGGAGAAGAGATGAACAAATTGTACTAGATTAATGCAAGGGAATGCTATGGAGCAATCAAAAAAATAATGAACCCAGGTCAGTCAGTAGCAGGGTTGTGGAGGCAGCTAGATCCCACATGGCCAAACACATTATTGGAGTCCTGGACTCAGTGGCTAGAGAGACATGCTGGGCATGTGTGTGTGCATGTCCAAAATTGCAGGAGAACAGAGGAGAAAGGACTGTGGTGTGGCCATTCCTCTGGGAGTTGATTTCTCATTTTCATTCTTTCTCTGTCTCACTCTAATGAGTGCAGGTACCTTATAGCAAGAACGAAGAAAAAAATGTATAAAAAATTCATAGACGTGAAAACACCAAAATCAGATTAGGGACTACATCTAAGAAAGGCGGGTAGGAAATAAAATAAGATGTGTAAGAGCTTTGATTCTGGCAAATGTTAAGAGCTGATAAAATTGAGTGGTGAAGATACATGGAAGATATTTTCAAAATGTTTATCTTGAAAACCAATGAACCAAAAAGATGATATATTTTATGGTTAAGTCTCATTAAGCTAATGTATGTTGTATCATACTGATCTTAGTATTATACAAAGGGTATGACATTAAATTAACATGGGACGGGGACCAGCAGTTAGTGTAATGGCTATGTCACTGGACTCCCACGTAGTCGACCACAGTTCACGTCCCAGACCCGGTGGCTTAAAACTCACGCCGGGCGCATGTGCGTGCATGCCCAAGATTCCGAGAGGAGAACGGAGGAGAAGGGATTGCAGCGTGGCCATCCCCACTGGGGGGTGATTTCTCGCTTTCTTCTCTCTGTCTCTCTCTTTCTGGCAAGCACACATGCCCTATAGCGAAAAACCTCTCCAAAAAAAAAAAAATTAACATGGGACGTGGACCCACAGGGCAGTCGAACAGGTTTCCTGAGGGAAGGAGTGAGAGACAACAGGACGCAGTGTTACAACTCTTCAAGGTCATCTGTTTATTGTGGGCCAGGGATTGTGGTTATATACATGTTGGTGGGCGGTGATTGGTTGTTAAAAGGTGGGTTATGATTGGTTGCTTTTGTGGACCAATCATGAGGTACCAGATATGCAAATCTGAGGGATTCTAGTGGCCAATCAGAGTATGGTTTTGAAGGTGAGGTTTTGAAGGGGAGCCAATTGTGGCCTTTGGCATTGTGTAATTGTTTGCTCTCTGAGCCTAAGATGGCAATAGTAAGAGACTTATGAAAATGGCCTTGGCAGACTCGCTGGTGTGCAGCTTCCCACAGGGACCGAAACAGATGTGTCCAAGGGGAAAAAGTCCAGGTCAGGGAATCGTCTTGTAAAATAGTAATTTTGAGGGCTGGTAGGTGGCATGGTGGTTAAGGGCACTGGACTCCCATATGGCCGAGCGTGGTTAGAGTATCAGACTTGGTTGGTGGCTTGCTTTCTCACTTTTCTCTCTCGTCTTTCTCTCTGCCTGTCTCTGGTAAAATTAAAGTCAAATAAGTCAAATAAAATAATTCTAAAAAAAATAATAATTTTGGAGCTGGAGGGATTTAGAGGTTATCTCATTTTATGTGAGGAAACTATGGCCCTGGCGTGGAGGTTGACCATGAACTTGTTAGTAAGCCTTGTAACAGATGAAGAATGAGGAGGGTACTGTGGAAGGTTGATGAATACATCGGAGGGACAATTTACAAATGTAAATGTTCTGCTCCACTTAGATTCATCTCTAAACGTCCAGCAGTCTCCTAAGAATGAAAATCTTTTCCAGCTGCATTAGACATTTTTCTTAGATCTGTCTTTTGTACAAGGGGAAAAACATAGCACTTGTAAATTGCTCTAAGGGAAACATTACTTAACATCCCTTAAGTGTCTCCTGGCAGTGATAGGCTTCCTTTCAGTGGAAAAGTAACTTCAGGACAAAGAATTTGCCTTAACTGCAGAGACTAAATACCCTATCTTTGAATGATTTTTCTTCTTTTCAGTAAAGGGGACTGAAAGTACTCTGGGTTCTAAGTTACCTGGATCCTCATTTTGTGTATGTGACAGACAAGGATGGATAGTACCCTTTCAGAGGCAAAACCAGGACAGCTTGCCCCGGTCAGAGTTCAACTGCCATAAAGGTTTTCTGCAGATTTTTCTAAATTAATTTTATTCATTATCATTATTTTAATTTTCTGAGGTTGACTGGAGAGAGACACAGAGAAGGAAAGTGAGAAAGCAAGCTGCCAAGTCCAGGACTTGAACCACAGTCAGCCATGTGGGAGACCAGCAGCCTTCACCGTACCACCTGCTGGCCCCTCTGGAGATTTTTTTTTTTAATTAAAAAATTATTTATTTAATTTTATTTATTGATTCATTTATTTTTAATTTGATGAGAGAGAGGCACGGAGAGAGAGAGAGAGAAGGGGAGAAAGCAAACCACCAGGCCCGGGACTCGAACTGTGGTTGGCCATGTGGGAGTGTCCAGCACCTTAACCACCATGCCACCTGCTGGTACCCCGCCACCTGGAGATTTTGAACAATCCACTCCAAGACACTGCTTTGCGGCTTCCATGGTTTTCTGACCAATCTCTTATTTCACAGATTGATTCTTTGCTAATTTCTTCATTCTTCCTGAATTTCTTTTTCTTTTTTTTTTTTTTTTAGAGGTTT